GGGGAGCTGGAAGATGAGAACTGGCGACTTTGTAGTGCAACTTTAGTGCGCGGAGCAGTCTGTGGAGCTGGAAGCTGAGAACTGGCGACTTTGCAGTACAACTCTAGTACGCGGAGCAGGCCGTGGAGAACTGGACAACTTTAGTACGCGGCTGAGTCATCTCTATTCTGTATTTTGCAAAGTGCAAGACAGTTGACGGTGGTTGCTTCGCTTTCGCTCCATTGGTCGGCTCCAACTTGTTTTGTCAAAGAACATCGCAGCTCGGCGAATCAGCCTGCCACATGCCCTTTTCCTATAGGCTTACTCTTTTGGAAACTTCCGCCGCCGGCTTGCCCGGGAACTACTTGTTGTGTTATTTTCTTTTTCGATTACTATTTTGTTGAAGAGTTCGTTTAACTGAGGCATGATGGTCTCTGTAGCTAGCTACACTCCAACTTCCAGCCGTCACTGAGGGCTCAACTACCAGCGCTGGTCCGCTGCGCAGGCTGGGCGGGAGATGGAACCCTTCAGTGCTCGGGGTCGAAGCCAAGGAAACCTGGTTTTTTCTCACCGAAACGCTCCTGTCCGTTTCACCTGGAGTGAGTGTGTCCACGGGGTGGAACAGAATACAAGGGAGGTCGACCTACTAGGGTTAAAGGGGCTTTGATGGTTTTTTTGTGCCATGACCCACAGCCATATGCTGCCGATGCCTGCTTTTTCAGCGGCGTTCCAGGAAAAAGGGCCTTGCCAGGCCCTTGTCCACTTCAAACAGGACACAGTGCTCAGCGTGTTTCTTTTGCTTTGAGGATTCGGGTCGACATCATCAAGTCTCCAACCCGACTCCCTGGATCAGACTCCGCCGGTCGTCCGAAGAGACTTCTTGGGGCCCCTTCTTGGGGCCCTCTGGGGGCCCTTGGATGCAGCTCTTGGGCCGGCCGATTCCATCGGTTTCCCAGCGTGGTCTTGGCTCGACGTGTTTTTTCGCGCCAGGCGGAGCCGCGCAAGCACCAGGAGGGGCGGGATTGGTGGGGTGACGAATGGATCAACGGATCCCAACTAATGAACCACTGAGTTGATCAATCATTCATGTCTAATCCAACGAACCTCCAGAAGCTAAATGTGAAAACACATTCTTTTGGTCACTGGGATGATTTGGTATCTCAGAAGTAGACGAGCATCCCTGGTAAGAATCGTCGAGATTTGTGCACTTTTCGCGGGTTTATCTGAGATTTGATTCGTGAAGCCTAGACAACTCGTGAGTGTTTCAAGCATAGACATCAAGATTGGGATTTTTGATGGATCCTTTTCAGCTTTCCAGTTCTGGGTTTTTAGCTACAGGGTCCGTCAAGGGCGTCGTGGAAGATGCCAGGGCGCCGTGTGGCACTCTCTTTTGATCACTCGTGCTTCGGCCCACCGATTCGGTCCGATATCCCGTCTTTCGGGATCAGCAACTCCCTGGAGCCTTTTTGTGACCCCTGGAGCCTGGAGGATCAACTATCCCAAAAATGACTCAGTTTGGCTCCTATCAAAACCGGCCCGACTCGGTCAGTCCGGCCCGACTCGGTCCGGAATGCAGCGGCGGCTTCACCGGGGACGATTCCAAGCGAAAGAGATCGACAGACGTGTCGACAGACGACCGGGACGGACGCACGACAGACGTGTCGACCGGGGTGGAGGCCTTCAGTGACAGATGGGATGTTCGAAGTGTGGATGGAACACACCCGCGCTGGATCCCCCAACAGGTGAGGTATGAGGCATCAGTATATGTTTCGAATTCCACCAGGATTTCATGGGATCGATGGGCCTCATTCTTGGAACCAGCCGCAGCCGCGGCACTCCACGGTGCCTCCCTTGGCTGAACGGGCCTCCCTGGCCCCGGAGCGCAGGGAGTCCCGCCTCCGCCAGGGCGGAAGGGCTTGGCATCGCGCAGCGCTGGCGCCGACCATAGGCCGCGCGCCCCGCGGCGCAGCGACCTGCGGCTCTCGTGTAGCTGACCGATGAACGCGATTCCAGGGTGGGAGATGATCGGGCGGGTGTGAGAGCCCTGTGGGTGGAAGATTTGAACACCTTTCTGAGAAACTTGGAACGGTGGGGTTTTCTGGAACCTCTGGTTTTTGAAACTGAACCCTTTGGCCAATGAGGTTCGTCGAAGCACCGTTGCGGATCGTACACCTTCGCGGGACCCGAACTTTGGGGACCCAAAAGCACCAGTGCTTTGGTCGTGCGAATCTCAAAATGGATTCCACTTGATTGTGGGGGTCTGTTGTCCTTTTCTATCAAGTGATCCCCACCAAATCTTCACAAACTCGTGGGACTCTTTCTGCTGGCTCCAGAGCCGGCTGGGCCCACGGCGAACTCGCCAGGGCTTCTGGCCGCTGGAGGCACGAGGAGACGAGGATGGACGGCTGAAAAGGCTTTTTGGAAAAGGCTTCCAGCCATGTAGTTGGTTTTCATGAGTAACTAACTATTACTTGCAATCAAAAGAAAGCATTTGGGGAGAAAACCTCGTCGGATGAATCCATCCTGCTTGAATACCAAGATAGGCTCGTGTCCATCTTCCGAATGTTTTGGGCTCGAGATCCGCTGGATCTGGGGTCCCCAAGGAAGCCCCGCCCCCCGCGCCCCTCGACTTGGCCTCCTGCGCATTTTGGGTGTCATGGGGCGCAGCGCAATGGCCGGCCGGCGATGGCTGCTGTTGGTCTTGGTGGCACTTGCGCTTTCGCTCCGTTTCAGCGGGGTGCGCCTGGCAGCCTTTAGCGCCGGCGCAGCCGGTGCGGCCACGGCGTGCCGGCGGCAATGGCTTCAAGGAAGTGTGCTCGGACTGGTGATCCCTCCCGCCTTGGCGGAGGAGGGTCCTCCCTTAGGGTCGATCCCGAAGGACTTGAAGGCCACCGCGGTGGGCGAAAAGGTCACGACTCCCAATGGTTGTGTCTATGAGCCATTGGACTTAGGCACCGAAGAGACGGGTCCACGCAGTGGCCCACCGCGTGGAGGAGCCAATGTGCAGCTGAAGTACACGGCTCGTCTGGAGAGCTTCTCTGGACCCATCTTCGATTCTTCGGAGCTACGGGGCAAGCGCAAGCCCAACAAGGTGCGACACAAGCGTCGTGGTGTTCGGAATTGCTTTCTATTTTGTGCAACCTATATAATTGCATTGGGGTGATCTTTTTTTTCATCCTTTGCAACCTATATAATTACATTTGGGATGAATTCTTTTTCATCCCGCTGACTCTATAGTTTTGTTTGGGATGAAATTGTTCATCCCGCTGACTCTATCTATAGTTTTGTTTGTGTTTTTGTTCGGTTTTTCTTTCACACCGGGCGCCCTGGCGAGGTGGACTTCGTGGAAAGCCGATTGAATGTGGATCCCAGTTTGCCCAACTGCGTCTTCGAGGCTGTGAAGCTCATGAAGGTGGGGGCCAAAGGACGCGCCATGTGCCCAGGGAAGTTGAGCTACAGTGAAGGCAAAGTGGCCTTTGATGCAGATGAGGAGGGAGAAGTCAAGAAGATCCCTGCTGGGGCCAGTCTTTACTATGAACTGGAGCTGCTCCGCATCATTAAGCCCTGAGAGTTGGAAAAGATGCTCTTTGTCACCTTTTCCACAGGCTGGCCGACGGAAGCTGGATAGTTTCAATACCCATACCATACCCCATTTCATCCCCCAACATCCCTCAAAAAATTCGCCAAGCAAGTCGAAAGGGCGGCCATCCTGTTCAGGTTACTCTGGTCTCACGCTCCGGCCGAAAATAGGGATTCGCCTTGTCGGGGCGGTGTCGGGGCGCCTCGAAGCACGGGCGTCTTGAAGCATGGAACCGGAGCCAGGCGCCCGCAGCAAACGAAGAGGCACTGCCAGTGCCAGGAGAGCTGAGGCGCATGGGTCTGGTTCTGAAGAGCACGCGTGCAATCTAAGCTAAGTAATCTTCACAGCTGACAAGTACATATTTCAGGGGCCATCATTGGGTCTGTTTGCCGACCTTGACAAGTGCCAGGGATAGAGGCCAAAGTCTAAAGCTGAAGTTAAAAACTGTGGACTATCTATATTATGAATGTACCAGCCGAATTGCATCTCAGCTATCGAACCATTGACAACAGCTTCAAAAATCACTGCTGCTGCAACTCACGAAGCGTTTTGGCATGTTTTGGCTCCGCAAAGAGGATCTACAAACAACAACCCCTTCCTATTCCTGTCTCTGGTGCTTTGGATCACAAAAACGTCATCTCCGCTCCAATCGGACCCAGCACGCCCTGTTGATCGTGGAGGGGGTTGACGCAGCGTTGCCGGAGCGGTGGAGCTTCCTTGACGCAGTCGCGCGCAGCGTTTGCAGGTGCAGGTGGCTGAGAAATGGTTTGAAGAGCAAGTGGAGCAGAGAAGGCCAGGAGAGCTGCAGAGGGTGCCATTTTAATGAGAAGCAATCGGTAGAATTTGGAATTTGCGGTCACTTGGTAAGGACGTAAGCATGCCTTACCTAAATGTTTCAATGGCCCTTTGGGCTCAATAAGTGGGTGCTTCCACCCCAAAGCAATGGTCTGGACGATTTTCTGGTTGTGGTTGTGGTTGTTGTTGTTGTTGTTTTAAATACAGTATAGACTTTCTATGCCATCCAAAAAGGGTACTTGGGGTGTTTATAGTTATTGAACCTGGTTCGGCTCAGGGAAATGTTTCGCGGGAACTTGTCGCAGTGGTTTCCCACCGGCGCGCCGCTCAGTTCATCGAAGCTGGCCGAGCTCCTTGGCGGCGGCATTCGGCAAGAGGTTTTTGCAACAAACGGGTTCGGCGAGTGTCCGGACGATGTGGAGACGAGGTGGATGGGTTGGGCGAGTTCATGTTCAGACACACACACACACACACACACACCCAGGTATTCTCGGAGATGCTCCGAACTGGATGTCACCAGTCTGTCACTCTGCAATCCAGTCTGTCGTTTGGAAGGTAGAAGCTTCACAGTAGATCACTCTACTCAATTGCCCTGCGTGATCACAGGGTGTATGGTGCCTAGGGTCAGCAGATGGTCAGCACATAAAGTAATTCCTCCGAGCTTTCCTCACATATCTGCAGCTCCAAGGCCGGAGTCTTTTTGGTTACCCATCCAGTGAGTGGAATCATGGATGATCATGGCACCCTCTCCCCAATTCCAGGACCATCCCAGTGCCCTACCCATCCCTACCCCTCCCTCACGGTGCCCGTGAAAACCGGCCGAGGCGTGGCTTGGCGGTCTTGAAGGACCTGGAAGCGCCCAAACGGAACCAGGAGACGCCACCGCCACCGGTGCTTCCGTGCTTCAGAGCTCTGATGGACAGGACGTGACGGGAGGAAGTGCAGATGGCACGTACAAGGCCTCCAGAGTAGGATGGCACGTACAAGGCCTCTGTACAAGCACTGCAAGAATCCCACATTTGGGGGATCGTGCCATCTACTCTCAATCAACTATAGTACCCCCCTTTTGGGGGGGATGAGTTTCCCCATGAAAGCCAGAGGTGCAAAAAGGTCAAAAGCTTTTTCTTCGCAGTGGAATCTGAGGGAGTCAGGTGAGTTGGTTTCTCCGCACCTGAGGACATGTCCGGTGTTTGTTGATGTTGGGATCTTTTTTCCCCAGATAGCTGCAGGCTATAGGGGTTTTAACTTCTCAATGGTGTGGCTCTGGATCGGCGTTTTGGTTTTGGTGAACTCTTCCAGGACCCCCCAACGAAGGTCACAACAATTCCCACCAAAAATGGATTCAATTACAACCGGTCTTCTCGAACCTACTCTCGAACCTCTACTATTAAGAGAGGCGAGAGTTAAGCTAGTCCAGGACCCCCGAAGGTTTGGTTAATGGACACCCCTTGACCTCTAAGGACACTCCTTGACCTCGTGGTGACTGGTAAGATGTTTCTTCTGTCCATTTGTTCTGTCCAGCCCAGCCGTCGCGAGCTAGGAGCCCTTTCGATACACTGATTTGGATGCCCTCCTGTACAGCCGGGACCCGAGAAAGACAGGATCATGTTGTGTCCCTTCAGCAGCACTTCTAGGAGTGACTCTTCTCCAGAATTCCCACATCGAAGTTCAACGTTCGGAGCCATTCAATTCTTGGCAGTCGCGTCCAAGTATTGAATATCGTTTCTCATAGTTTCTCTCTCTCTCTCTCTCGCCTATGGCCTTGAGTCAGGGTGGAGCTACTAGTAGCTGAGTAGCATGGAGGCCTTGAGTCTGCCCTTCGACTGTTGTTTTCTGTTGCTTTCAGAGATGACCACAGATGCTGTGGCATCGGCGGACAGTTGGTCGGGCCCATGTCTCTTTTGTTTTTCAAGATGTTTCTCCGTTGGCCGTCCATGTTCTTTTCCAGGTCTTTGGCGGTTTTCCACGTCCTACGACGACTCATATGTTGGCCCTGAATAAACTTCAAGGGGCGTCTCCTGGTGCCACAAGGACTCTTGGAATCAAAGGTTTCGACTCAAGACTTGACTGGGTCTCCAAATGAGAAGATTGTAGATGAAAAGCCCAAGGCCCATTGGTTGGAGGAGTCCTGTTCTGAATTGCCAAGGTGTTGCTCCAAGTGCTGGCAGTGAGGCACAGGGTGACGGTTTTGGGGGCTTCGAAGCATCGTGTCAGGACAATTTGTCCGGCCTGGGCAGTTGGGTGGGGTTCTTCCGGTGACGTACCATCCCTTTGCCCTGGCAAGCCATAGCTAGTCAAAACTGAGAACCACGAGGCTCCACGGGACCACGGCGCATAACAAACTTTGCTCTGCGGAGCATCCTGCAGGTTCCTCCAGCAGCCGAGAGGGGCTGGACATGACGCCAAGAAGGGCTGAATTCCTCGCATCGTTCCCTTGATGACAAATGCGGATCCTGAGTACCTCGTGGACATGGGTTTCATTTGCACAAACAGATCAAATTCATACATTGTAATACATTGTATACATATATGTATACATCAGTTTGTGCAATCCCAACCATTCATTCCTCATTGATGCATGTGCTTTGGGGTTTGACAACATTTCTGCTCTGCTATCCCTCCACCAACATTCCCCCAAAGAAGCATGAACAAACATAACGAATGACGCTGCTCCGCTGTTTCTTTCGTGGCATTAACGTGCTCAAGTGGCTTTGTTTTGCAACACATACATCGGACACAGACCAAAAATCAAAAGTCTCTCTCTCTCTCTCTCCCTCCCTCCCTCCCTCCCTCCCTCCCTTCCCCTC